GGAGCTGGAGGCCCAGCCGTGACCATGTAAGGAAGCCGGGATCCGTTGGGATGGGGCTGGAGGGAAAGGTGGGGGGCAATGAAGGGGAGAATCCTGGGTGGGGGCGTGTAAAGGAGGGAGGGCTGCGGTCCACGCAGGCCCAGCCCGCCTGCCTGCTTGCGGGGAGGCAGCCACACCCCAGCCTTGGCCTCAGCTGCAGGGAGCCCCAGGCGGCCACAGCCAGAGTCGGAGAAGTGGCTCTTGCAGACCATGCCCGGGATCGTCCGCGACTCTCAGACACAAACCGAGGCCCCCAAGCAGACACCTCTCAAAGTTAGCACCCCGAGTCTCAGACAGAGCCCCCTGTCACCCAGGCCTTTCCTGAGAGACTTGCTCCAGGCAGAATTTGGGGACTGGAGCAGAAATGTTCTAAAACTCAGGCAGATCCCAGGCTCAGAGACTTTCCCTTAGAGACCCAGACAAACAATGACATAAACAGAGACCCCAAAAGGCACAATACTAAACACAAAGAAATCTCTCAGACACAGACAGACACGATGAACCCTCCTCAGACGGTAAAGCAGGACCTTTCCTCCAAGACTTGAAAACAGACATACAGTTGAACTGAAAACCAGGCCCATGCAGACTGAGAAAATACTCCCAGGCAGCCGGACCCCAGCCCGCCTTCAAGACAAAGCCCTTCCCCAACAGGGCGATGGCCCAGACCTGTCCCAAAAGAAATCCTTCCCAAGATACCGATGAACACAGTGACGAAAGCAAGATGCAAACTCCAGCCAGCCACAAAGGAACAAGAAGCCTTCCTTGGACTGAGACCCTGAGAAATCAAGATTGAAACGAGCCCAGCCAGCATGGCTCAATGGTTGAGCATCGACTTATGAACCAGGAGATCACAGTTCAATTTTGGTCAGGGCATATGCCTGGGTTGTGGGCTCGATCTCCAGTAGGGGGCATGCAGAGGCAGCTGACCAATGATTCTCTTTCATCATTGATATTTCTCTCCCCCCCCCCCCCTCCCTTCCTCTCTAAAATCAATAAAAATTTTTTTGGAAAGATTGAAATGAGACACTCTATAGTTGGTATAGACAGACACAATGGTGCTGCAGCCACTGGACTGTGGGTCCCAATCCAGACCTGAGCACTTCAGTCTTCAAGGCCTTTAGCAGGCCACATGAGCTGCTGTGCCCACCACCATGCCACGAAAGAATGGGTTTCCTCTCATTGCATTTACAAGATATATTGATAGCATCATTGCAAATTATTCCATACAAAATGGTGGTTTTGTTGGGTGGAGAGAGTATTTGATATTTCACATAGGCTTTGATTTTTTTTTTAGGCTTTGATTTATATGTGTAGTTTTAATTATTATTTTTTTTAAATTTTATTTTTATTGATTTCAGAGAAGAAGGGAGAGGGCGAGAGAAACATCAATGATGATAGAGAATCATTGATCGGCTGCCCCCTGCACATCCCCTATTGGGGATCGAGCCCACAACCTGGGCATATGGCCTGATTGGGAATCGAACCATGACCTCCTGGTCCATAGGTCGCCGCTCAACCATTGAACCACACCAGCCAGCCTATTATTTATTTACTAGGGGCCTGGTGCACGAAGATTCGTGCATTGGGGGTGGGTCCCTCAGCCCGACCTGCACCCTCTCCAATCTGGGAGCCCTCACGGGAACCCTCTCCAACCTGGGAGTTTCTGTCTGTCTTTGCAATCATATGAGCAAATTGTCTGAGACCCCCAACCCAGCTTGGTTTGTTGCTCACGAATTGTCTGAGACCCCCAACCCAGTTTGGTTTGTTGCTCACAGAATAATAGAGGCATTTTATTTTCTTTGCTCCATTGGTGGAGATTTCCTGGAAGTTTTAGGATATCTTCCCTTTAATTTTTCCTAGACACTCTGATTTTACTTATGTCTCTCACCTTTGCTTTCCCTCCATCCCCCACCGCAACAGTAACTTGCTCCAGGCTCACTTTGCTTTAGATCTGCCACCAGAACTACAATTCCCAGCATTCCTGGTGCTCCCCACACTCTAGGTTTTCCCTTCCTGCTCTGTCTCCATTCCACGGCCTCCCACATTGCCATGTTCCCCCAAGCTGCTAGCTCTCCCGCTCTGCTCTCTGCTGGGTGCCTGTGTATGCAAATGAACCCACCAGCTTTGCTGGGTTAATTTGCATATTCACTCCTGATTGGCTGGTGAGCATAGCAAAGGGACGGTTAATTTACATGTTTCTCTTTTATTATATAGGATTGAGTGAGTTAGTTAATCCTCACCCGAAGATATTTTTTCCATTGATTTATTTAGAGAGAGTAGAAGAGAGAGAGGGAAGGAAGGGAAGAGAGAGAAACATTGATGTGAGACACATTGATTTGTTGCCTCCTTGCACGTGCCCCAACCAGGGCCAGGTATCAAACCTGCTACCCTTCAATGTATGGGCCAATGCTCAAGCCACTGATCACACCAGACAGGGCTGTCATTTTTATTTAAAATGTTAACTTCTTACAGTGCACACCTTTTTGGATGTGGAATGGAGGTATACAATGCTGTTGTAGATGGAGTAAATGCTTAAAACAAGACTAACAAGGGTAGAATAGGGTACAATCCTTGTTTTAAACTGTAATTCAGAAAAAATATAATAAGAATCATGGTGCCATAGATAGTTCTCAATGGTGCAGTTGAATATCCAACTCCAAAGTTTTAATCCCAACCCCAGAAGGCTGGGCTCTTCTCCATCTCGCAGGCCCCTCGGTCTCGGCTTCTCACTCCTGAGTCTGCAGCCCATCGTCCTGGGGCCCAGTTCCATCCTCTCGTCGGTCCTCAGTGGTTACTCCTGCTTAGCCTCCTCCCCGTGCCACTCCGAGGGAGGCCTTCTTCTTGCCAATTCGTTCTTGGGTCCCCTCTGAGAGGATATCAAGAGTCTAGGCTGGGACCCCTGCTCCCCACTTCAAATCCCATCACCACAGCCAGAAAAGCCTCAGTCAGGGGACCTGCTTCCTCGCCTGCTGCCTCCACCAGCTCCACTAAGGCCAGGGCCCGCTTCCGTGTGCACTGCCCTGGCCCCAGGACCCAGCGTGCACAGTGGACAGCCATCCGGGGCCGGCCGAGGCGGAGTACCTCACCCATTGACTCTAGGCTACCTTGGGATCCCAGGTGGATACGGCCCAGAGCCTCTTCCAGTTCCTCCTCCAGCCCAGGCAGCAGGAAACGGTCAGCAGCCTCCAGTGCCTCCTCCACCTCTGAGCCCAGCAGGGGCTGGCCTGGCGGGGGAATGGGCCCCAGGGCTGCTCCACAGCCCCGGCAGCCATGCAGGTGATGCATGATAGGCCAGGCTGCGCTGGGTGATAGGTCTCGAAGAGGTACCAGGTCCATCTGGGCTTCAGCAAAGCTGCCAGCTAGCAGGGCCCGGAAGAAAGGGGAGGCAGCAGACGAGGCAGCTCGCTGGGCGGGGAGCCGGAGGCCTGAGTCCAGGAGGAAGTGCAGATCTGGGGCTGGGATGGGAGCTGGGCCCAGCAGAGGTTCATAATGGCAAGGGGAGGGCGGGTCTAGGTCCAAGGGGGTTGCAGGTGGCGGGGCTGGGCTCACAGGGGGAGACACCAGGCTGTGGAGGCAAGAAAGGGAGTCTGCAGCAAAGAAGAGGAAGAGCGGGTGCGGGGCTGGCCGCGTCAGCGCCGAGAGGAGGAGTCGGAGGCCGCCCTGGTCCAGAAGTAGCCGGCGCCACAGAGAGGGCTTCCTGTGGGGAGAAAGAGAATCTCTCAGAAGGGGGAAAAGGTGCGACTGGGCAAGAGCAACCTTGCTCCCCTGGCCCCTGCAAGGCACCCCCATCCTCCTCACCGACAGATGAAGGGCAAGGTCAGCGCACAGGCCACACGGTCCTCAGGACTCCCGGAGAGCAGCAGGTGAGTGAGGACCCCCACTCCGAAGGGCGACTCCGCCTGCACCGTCAGGTTCTGCAGCAGCATTTCACCTGCAGGGATGGGCAGAGTGGGTCAGGGTGGGAGCTGGTGTCCAAGATTGGGGCGGGAGGGGTAGCACAGGCTTCCGGGCCCCAGAAAGGAAGGTGGGTAAAACCTCAGGGCAAGAAACCAGGGCACGGGAAAGGAGGCTGACGCAGGCCCTGGAGGGATGGGGCCCAGAGACTAGGAATTGGAAGTGAGGGCAGGAACAGGAAGTGGGATGTCAGGGAGTAAGCCAGGGCCCTCAGGGCTGAGACTGGACCCAGGAGACAGGGCAGTCCCTGGCAGTGTTGGATATGGGGGTTGGGCCTGAAAGGACATGGCGCCTGAGCCTGGGTTCACAAGTCAGTGACACCGCCGAACTGAGAGTAGATTAGGGAAGGAAATGCCAACAGGTACAATTCTAAATTGTGGGGCCCCAAAGCCTGGGCCAGGTATGGAGCAGGACTCTGCAGGCTGGGATGGTGGAGCAGGATGGGGCGGATGGTGGGCTGAGGGCAGTGAGGGACCGAGGGGTGGTAAGGCGAGGTTCGGGGCTCACTGAAGGATAAGTGGAAGACAGAGCGGAAAGGGGCAGGGACATACCTAGCTCCCGGTGCTGGCTGCGCAGACTGGGGGGCCGGGCACGCAGCGTGGGCCAGTCGTCCGGGGCGAC